AAAATGTCTTTTATTGAGTGAAAGTAACAATTAAACCACTTCCTGGAAACCAGCAATTTGTTGCCTAAGATGCAAACAGATGGAATAGAGCATGTGACTGAGAACGCCTGAAAAATAAATACAGGATTCTGGATAATCCCATATATGCGATAATGGATTTGAGAACCTGTCCTGCATTTTCACTGAGACCATGCTCCTATTTTTAAGAGTATCCGGTGCAGAAACTCACCTACAGGGGAGATTTGCTGAAAGATATTATTGACTGGCAAGCCCTCTTTCCGCAGAGACCAGCACTCCACGATGCTGCTGTTTTGGTTGGAAGCACAAAGCAACACCTGCAAAACAGAAACCCCTACTGCAACCACACGCACAAACTTTACAACAGGGAAAGACACTATCCCGTCGCGTTTTCCGCCCCTCCCTCTCCCCTCTATTTTGAGGCTCCTTCTCCCAATTAGTTTATACTCCACCAGCGAACAGCAGAGGATTGTATCAGCAACACGCAACAGTGAAGTACCTAGTTCCAGATAGAAGGAAAAAGAAGCAGAACTCTGCCATGTGTTATCACAGCCTGTGCCTCTCCACATCACAAACGATCTCATTTCTCGCAAGCCTGTGACCTGCTGATGTCATTCGCACGCACTGTAAATTACATGTAAAGGAAAGGGCAGGAACTGAACTGACTTTGCAGCCAGAGCAGACACTGTGTTGTCCAACAAGGCACTCCGTCCTAAGCAGAGCAGAGAGGTTAGGCTTCATTGAATCACTTAGCTTTCCAGAATCGTATTATCAATGCCCTGGCAAATAGAGTTAAGCTACTAAATTAAGTCACGCAGATCAAGAGCTCTAAGTGTTCTGGAGAGAGGCTGAGACCTAGAGATGAAAGACTTCACATCCCAGAACCTCCCGGACAGCCCGGCAGAGCTCCCCTAACAACCAGTGCCAGATCCGGAAAATAAACAAAGCAAAGCATAATCAGGGTAACGAAGGATGGGGCTTTCCAGGCTGCTTTTCCATGAACTGGAGGGCTCAGCCATCACACCCCCAGACCTTTTAAGTGCAGCCTGCTTGACAGCGAAGCTGAACTAGCAGCACTTCCAGAAACAGCAACTAGAAACGCAAAGAGCATTGCAGGACACGATCGTTCACCTCCAGAGCCACGTGGGGAAGCCAAAGGTGGAGCAAACAGCTATTTCCTTGCCATTCATTTAACTCCTACTTGCTTTAAAGGCAGATGCTCACCTGCTCTGACATGTCCCGAGCAAGGAATTTCAGGTGAGTGATTGCTGGGTATTTGTCTTTGCGGGCAGGGTCCGTGGTGCAGCGCATGAAGAGGGAAGGCAGGATTTCGGTGTCTATTTTGCATTTCTCGTTCACCACGCTGACGCAGACTTTGTAGAACTGGACCGGGGAGGTGCTGCTGCCATCCGACGTGGCCACCACGATGTTCCCCCCACCAGTGAAGGCAACATCTGCCAAGGCAACGCGACAGCGGAGGCGGCACAGGCTCTCTGTGGACGTCAGCACCTGCCCGTTGGGCTTGAGGAGAGAGACCGTCACCAGCCCACTGATGGTCACAGCAATCCAGCCCTCCATGGGCTTCCCGCCAAACAGCGTCAGCGACGGAGAGAACTTGACCCTGGAAAACTTCTCACCAAAGTTTGATGCTCCAGACTGCGAACAAAGGTCAACAACACAAAGGCATTTGCACCCGATACCCGCAGCGCACTGACGACTGCGGAGCTCTCCTCATTAAGTCACTGCAGCGCGGTCTGCAGAGCTGAACAGAGTCAGATGAGGGCACCGAGCTCACACACCCAATTCTGCTACATGACCCTGGAGAGGCCCCTTTGCCCCCATGCCAGAGCAGTTCCAGCTGTGCAGGCGGCAGCAGGAACACACCAGCCCATCAGCAAAGCTCTCGGAGCGCCCCAGACACAGAGCTCCGACCCCACTTACGTAGACCGAACCTGGAAGACTGACACCCCCTCTCCCTTTCTGTGGCCAAATCCAGCTCCGACACCAACCCGCCACACAACCCTTTACGTCCCTGTGCCTCGGGTTCTCCAGTACTAAAGAGAGGGAAAGGCTTCTCTCTGTGGGACACCCTGAGTTAATGTTTAAGAAAATGTAAGTAGGTAACTTCTACTTGGCAGACTTGCTCTTTTTGAGTCTGACAGAATTAGACACGTTTCTAAACAAGCAGCTTATCTCCGTGCACATATGGCTCCCATTCCCAAATCCCTGGATCAAACCTCAGGACCTCAAACGCATTTCTTCTGAATTACTACTGGTAGGCAAAGAAATGCTTTTATCTCCATTTTACAGCCAAGGAAATTGAAGCACCAGACTAAGGAAGACATGTTTAAAGTGCCAAGAGAAACGATCCCCGTTGAAATTCAGCAGGAACTAGGGATCTGACTTTTCTTTTTGACTGGAAAAATTCCCCTATTCGACTTGCCCAAGGCCACAGAGGAAGCCCAGAGCAGAGAGAAACACAGACAGGGGTTTCCACGACCCGAGCCAGCCTTCCTGACCGGATCCCCTGCAGAGCTGGGACAAACCTTTTCCACGTGCAGAGCCAGCTTCACGCCATTGTGCAGCCAGGACAGGGCCACAACCGGGTCCCCTTCCACCATACTGCCCACGGTGTTCTCCCAGCTGTTGGCCAAGTGATCGGTCATGCTCCAGCACTTGATGTGGCCGTCCGCGTCTGCCGAGAGCAGCCTGGAGCCTACCACAATGGCGCCTTGTAAGAACCAGGGGGTACAGCCAAAAAAATCAACCGAGAAATCAAACCACCCCAGTGCAGTTCGAATGGAGACAGCCAATTCATGGCTGCGAAGCGACGGACACGCTCCCCCTCCATGACAAATCTTATACCATCGTTTTAGGAAATGCACACACGTCAATGGCGGGACGCAGGGATAACGAGAAGGGGTCCAAGCTCACCTGACTGGTCCCACTCCAAACAAGTGATGACTTCAGCATGGCCAGAGTTAACGGAATAGACGTCCCACGGATGCTCAGTGTCGATGATATGGACCATATGGGTGAGATCTACACGAAGAGAGAAGTGAACCACTGTCCCTCGCTACCAGCTACCCAGCTGGCGTTTCTAAACCCACAGAGCCTCAGCTGATGCAGGGGAAGACGTAATTTTTTTTTCCATCGAGCAATTTTGGGAAGGATAGCAACCGCGCTTGGCAACTCAGGTGAGGTACCAGATACCAACGCAGAGCTTGCCCTGGTTTAGCAGAGTGAGAACCATCCCCAGCGAACAAAACACCCATTAAATCTAAGGAATGGAAAGAAAAGAAAGAGCGCGAGTTTCTTGCGTTGATTAGCGCAGGTGACAGATTTTAGGGTCAAAGCAGAGCAGAGGCCACCCGGCCCAGTGCTTCCTGATGGCAGGACTTGCCTAAACGCGCCGTGAGATGTTACCCATCCTTCCACAAGCACGCCGTACCTTTTTCCTCCTCATTTTTGAGGTCTGTGGTGAAAGCGATGAGGTTCCGGCAGGACCACGCGCACACTAAGGGGATGGAAGGACAGTGGTTGCTTTTCGGCTTTTTCTCCCACTCGCAGACATACGCCAAGTCCATCGTGCCGCTGGCAGAGCCCCGGGGCTCCGCCGGCCCTGGGACCCCGCAGAGAGGGGAGAGGCGCTCACTCCTCCCTGGAAGCAAGAAACAGCCAATTCCACAAGGCACCGGCCGCAGGCAGAGGCCCGGTTACACCGGCTCCCCCAGCGAGATCCGCCCAGGCCCCCCCAGCTCCGGCAAGCGGGGCGGGGACCCCAGCCCCAGGGGTGCGGGGGGGGGGGGGGCGCGGCCCCACAAAAACCGG